CTCACTTTTTTTTTTTTTTTTAAAAAATCCCATACTGGAGAAGCGAATTGGTGAAAATGGGCCCTCAGAACACTTATGATTGCTAAGAAGCTTATACTACAAAGAGTGAAAGATAAAACAATTCCTTCCATTATTCGGTGGACTTAACAACTCTTTCTTCCTTTCAACGGACATTTCTTCCTTTCAACGGACATATGCATCAGCTCTGACAAGACCTCTGTTGGGACATCTGGACTGCATATACAGGCTTGCATGCATAAGTGAGCCTGGTGCAGATTTATATGTTAGAAGGCAGTACTTTTTTTGAGCAGAGCAATGCTGACTCAATTAGTACTTAGTTACATTTCTGAAGATTCCTTTATTCTTCAATATACACTTTCGCTTTCTTTGCATCTGTGAACCCCCCACTTTATATGTCTTAATAAATCACTGATGCATATGTTTTTTAAAAAAAAAATCAAAGAAAGATGGGGAAAAAACTTTCTCAATATGAGACTGCATCTACACTGCAAAATTAATGTAGTTTAATACTGCTTCAATTACCATGCCTCAATGCTATGGAATTCTGAGATTTGTAATTTGTGAGATATTTAGCCTTCTCTATCAGAGAACTTTGGTGTCATACCAAACTACATATCCCAGGATTCTATAGGATGGAGCCATGGCAATTAAAGTGGTGTCAAACTGCATCAATTCTGCAGTGTGGTAGCAGCCTTTGTCTCACTTGCTTATACCAGTGATTATTGCTATCATCACTTGTCAGAAGGCAAAATTCTGGTCCAGAGTGGGTCACCAACAGAATGAATGAAACAAAGGTCACTTGATTGATACAGCTTTTTTAGAATGCCTTTAACAATTTCTACAAACCTTTTAAAAATTCTTGGAATTGTTCAAAAATGTAACTTTTCTGAGCTCTGCACTTTAACCCACATTATCATTATGTTTTCTGAGGATGTATTAGAAATTCTCCAGTGATTTACAACTGATCAGAAAGAGTTTCTGAGTGTATCTGCACCACATAGTTATACTACTTTGACATTACTTTAATTGCTATAACAAACTTCTATGAAATCCTGGGAATCCACAGTAATTTGGTTAAGTCAGGAGTAGGCTGACTTAACCAAAGCTGACTTCTGGGAGCTGAAGGGCCGAGGGACTTCAGCTCCCAGAAGCTTCAGCCATGTTGGCCAATGGTCCCATGTTGGCCAATAGCTCCTGGGATTCTGGGAGCTGAAGTCCCTTGTCCCTTAAAGGAGAAAGGTTGCCTACCCCTGGGTTAAGTACTTAGAATGGTCTGCTAGGGAGCTCTAGTGCTGTAGTTCAAGGGAATGTGCGAGAGAATTCTAAGTACCTCATGAAACTACAAATACAAAGATTTTATAAGATGGAATCATAGCTGATAAAGGGGTATCAAAGTGCTATAATTGTGCAGTGTGTCTCCCAATCATTTAACCATAACAACAACAAAAATCATTTCCCCGATATATTAGGTTACTGAAATCAAAATATCTAATGGGACAAACAGGGGAGAAACTGAGAAAGATCTCTGATTAAAAGGATTTATGTGTGCGTTCTAGTTTTGGTGCTGAAATTACATTCCTGAAGCATTCATGTGCTAAAAGGAACTTTGCTCTTCAGTTCTATGTCTAGTTTCCTGAGCTACATTTTGCAACTGGCTCCAATGGATGGATCCAAGTGTTTTAGTGAGAAACAAAGCAGATCTTGAAAGTCTGTCTTCCCTAGACCTTGTCTAATTTTATTCTAAGAATACAATTAGACATTTTGATAGAAATATATGAAGGCATCTTGGTGCTACCAGGACTACATTGTCAGGGATTTAGGACACTGCATACTGACTCTCTCTCTCTCTCTCTCTCTCTCTCTCTCTGGTTTTGTCTGCACTGCAGAAATAATGTAGTTTAATTGCCATGGCTGAGTCCTATGGAATGCTGAGATATGTTGTTTGTTGTGGCACCAGAGCTCTCTGACAAAGAAGTCATACACTCTCAGCCTCAGAGGATGGCAATGGCAAACCTCCTCTGAACAAATGTTGCCAAAAAAAACAAGCCCATGGTTCTCCTTAGCATTGCCATAAGTCAGAAATGACTTGAAGGCACACAACACACACCATTTCAATGGGAGCTCCAGTCAGCATCTGTATGTAAAACTGGGAGGGGAGAGGAAATGATACTCAGACATTGGTCTAGATAGCAAAATGTCTTTGGCTGGCTCAGAGCCTGAAAGTTTGTTGTAGGCAAATAGGGGCATAACAATAATACATTCCAAGCAACTTGATAAATGGGGTTGAAGTTGTTTTGTTGATGTAATAAATAAAACATTCTAGTTACTTTTAAATTTACTTTAAAAATATTTTCAGGCATTTTCTGAGACAGAAATATTTCAAGTGCTGCGCCACTCTCTTAACTCTAAATCTTTAGCATTTCAGCACCTCAGAAAAGCAGTGAAAAATATAACATCAAGCAAGACAACTAGTTCTTCTTTAAGCTGTAAAACAACTAATGACAAGAGATTACTTTAAGGAGTAGCAGGAACATCTTGATTTTGAACATCTACTTTCCAAAGGCTGTGGTGGACCAACTCTGAGAAACCATGAAGTACACAGCCTGTTACTTGACACACTGCAGATGTTGAAATTTCTTTTTTAAACAGTGAAGTGTTATTAGCAGACAATTGTGTTTTTCTAACACATTTTTAACTAAAAGAACAAACATCATCTTGGGTTTTAAATTAGTGAAGAGTGGGAGATTGCAGAACAAACAAACAGAGAATACAGTAGGCGAGAGCAGATTCTTTAATGATGCATATTGGAGGGAGGCAGAGAGTTAGAGTTGTGTAGTGGTTTGAGTATTGGAATACACCACTGGAGACCAGGGTTCGGTTCCCTCTTGGCCATGAAACCCACTGGGTGACCTTGGGCAAATCACATGCTCTCAGCCTCAGGGGAAGGCAATGGCAAACCTCTGAACAAATCTTGCCAAGAAAACCCAATGATAGATTCACCTTAGGGTTGCCATAAGTCAAAAATGACTCAAAAGTACACAACACAAACCTCCTCTGAAGGTGGTGTTTTTTTTAATATCGAGGAGGATTTTTTTAAAAAAATATTGGAATAGTATAATACCATTTTAAATGTCAGTTTTGTAGGTTTTTAATTTTTCTATGTTTTTTATACTGTAAGCCAGTTTGGGTACCATTCTTGGTAGGAAAGTGGGATCGAAATCATCATCATCATCATCAAAACACACACAGTGATCTTTAGTTTGAGAAATTAAGTGATAAAGCAACCCCTGTTTTCCAATCCACAAAAAAGTGATACCTTTCTTGGGCCAGACAAAATGCACATTATACATGTGGCAGGCTTTCGAAGTTCTACTGGCTTCTTCATCAGGCAAAAGTGTTACAAATCATAAGCAAACCCTGATTTAAAACAAAAAATATGAATAAGCACCCTTGCAGGGTAAGTGAAAGAGATTTGGGTTTTTTAATAAAGAGAAAAGCACAGATTTAGAGGCCCTTAATTATTAATTTTAAAAAAACAATAAAAAGCCACATAGACATGCATTTTCTCATTTTTTTCCTTGGCATATAGCCATTTGGAAGGGTTATGAGAATATGCCAGCTCTATAGCTCCAGGTTTTAGATCATAATGCCACAGCTGTGTTAGCCAAGAACCCAAAATCTCTTGAAGCAAAAAGAGAAAGACATACTCCCCCCCTTAAAAAAAAAAAAGAACAGCCTCCCATCAAAGCAAGCATAATTTTTCAGCAGTATCATTTCCATTCTTGCTTTTCCTAACATAGACTTTTTATAAATAAATAAATAAATAAAATTGGGAGAAATGAGTGATCTCATAAAGCCTATGGATTTCTGGGCCAATGGTGACCTCATTCCCATGTTCAGGTAGGTAAAGGTAAAATTAATTTCCTTGGAAGCTAAAACTCAATTAATATGTTGATGTCAGGTAAATAGGATTCTCCAACTTAATTTTCTAGGCAAGATTAGAAGTCTTTAACAGGAGGCTTGGTTAACACTTCAGAGAAACAGATGAGCCATCAAGATAAGTGGAGGGTGATTGTCCACTGCCAGAAGTTCATTTACATTTGACAAACATCTCTCCAAATCCCTAAGCATTAATATCCCAGACAAAAGGAAGGGTGGTAATTAATTTCAATCCATATCCCTCAGGGTCTTTCAGCTGAACAGAAGAGGTTAGCATAGGGAAATTGCTGTTGTTTTCTTCAAAGTAAGCAGGAGAAACCATAATGTCCAAAATGACAGTTAGGATTTTTTTCATATGCAGAAATATCGTAAGGCTATTTTATCATGTATGGATATAAGAGCTGAACAATTAAGAAAGAAAATAGGAAGAAAATCAATTCATTCAAGATGTGGTGCTGGAGAAGAGTGCTGAGGATTCTGTGGACAACCAAAAAGACAAACAAGTGAGTTGTAGAGCAGATCAAGCAGAAATCTCCCTAGAGGCCAAAATGACAAAAATGAGCCTGTTATACTTTGGACACACCATGAGAAGGCATGAGTCATTGGAAAAAAGAATAATACTAGCAAAGGTGGAGGGAAGCTGAAAGAGAGGAAGGTTATGTGCTAGATGGATGGACTCTATTAAGAAGATCACAGGTAGGAGTTTACAGGAAATACGCAGAGCACTGGTGGACAGGGAGTCTTGAAGATGTCTCATCCACAGGATCGCCATAGGTAGATCTCAACTCAAGGCAGTTAACAACAACAAGTTTTATCATGACAGGACTGTTTATGTATAATTGAATGCTCAACATTCTCCACATTGTTGTTGCTGTTGTGTGCTTTCAAGTCATTTCCAACTTATGGTGCCCTGGCCTAAGGTGAACCTATCATTGGGTTTTCTTGGCAAGTTTTTTTCTTGCCAAGAAATGGAGGTTTGCCATTGCCTTCCCCTGAGGCTGAGAGTATGTGACTGGCCTAAGATCACCTAGTAGGTTTCATGGCAGAGCAGGAAATCGAACCCTGGTCTCCAGAGTCATAATTCAACACTCAAACCATTGCACCATGCTGGCTCTGGGGATATAACAATTTAACCATTTTTTTTTCAGAAGGAAGAGAAATTCTCCAGCATTTTTTCTGAGATGGGGTTCCCCAATGACTGTGGTTGTAGTTCAGCTTCTTTTACTTTTTAAAGGGCTTTTGAGGCTATTTTGTGCTGCCATTTTACATGGTAACAGAAGCAGCTATGTTGGAAATAGCTACATGGTGACTATTTTATATCCACTGCAATGCTTTGTATCTAGAGGCTCATTCTCACTTGCTTTCAATCAGCTTTACAAGTTGCATTGACACCAGGTCACAGAACCAATTCGTACCAATGCGTAGTTCCCATTATGGAAGCAAATTATTACAAGAATTTCATGCCTTCATGTCTTTTTTGACACACTGGTTGTTCACACTAGTCATTGTTTTAAATGTCAATCATATGATGCACATCTAGACATCATCAGTGCCAACCTCAGCAGCACCCCTGGGGCTCCAGAGCTCCCAAGCCTACTGGAGAACAGGTAGTCTGGGAGCTCTGGGATCAGGTGGAAGAGTGATGCTCAACATCCCCGGTGGAGAGGGAGCTGAGGGAGGGACCGGCAGATCCCACTGAACTGCCTTTGTAGAGGGAAGGAGGAATGAAGGGGGAGGGGAAGGTGGTGACTGGTGGCACTTTAGGATCACCATACATCTGAAACAACTTGAAGGCACTCAACCCATACACACACAAGGTGAACCCTGTCATGGGGGACAGTTGCTTAAGTAAGTGCAGAGGAGGGCTCCAGAATAAAAACCCACTGGGTGGCCTTCAGCAAGTCACACTCTCTCAGCCTCAGAGGATAGAAAAGATAACCCCTTCTGAACAAATCTGCCAAGAGACCCCCATGTTTTCTTAGGGTGGCCATAAGTTGGAAAGGATTTGCAGCACACACCATTAACAACAAAGAGGGAGAGCTAGCCCCCCTGAAAACAAGCCAGCTAGCTCTGCTGCAGGGGAGAGGAACCTGGTCCTGGCTCTTCCAAGAGGCTGAGAAAGCAACCCTTCCTCCTCCTCCACTGCCACCCTCATCATTCCCGGCTGCCTGTCCTCCCTGGCTGTACCTGGAGGCACTGGAGTGACTGGAAGAGAAGGAGCCCCTCCACCTGAGGCCATGGCTGCAAAAGGGGAGGATGCAGAGGAAGGGAGAGGAGGAGGAAAAGCCAAGGAGGCAAGGAAAGAATGGCCAGGCCGAGGCAAGCTCAGCCCTCTGGAAACCATTGGGGCCAGGAAGAGTTCCAGGGGGGTTAGGTGGCAAACATCTGAGCCCAGGGCCAAAGGATGAGGAAAGGCACCCTCCTCTCTCTTTCCTTCCTCCAGGGAGACAAGGTGAGCAGCAGCTGTCCTGCTTTTCCAGGACCTCTCCTCCTCCTCCTCCTCCTGTGGGGGACCAAGTGTGTCCTCACCCTGAAGGAGGACAAGGGCTGAGCAGTTGAGCAGCCCTGATTGGTTTGAGGTGGCTTCCAGGCTTGAAGGGCTCAGTTGCTCTGCCTCGCCAACTCCTCTGGGAGTCCCTCCAGTCCATGGAGCTTATGAGGGCAGTGGGGATGCAGAAAGTCCTTTCTTGGGACATGTCCTCCCTTTTTCTTGAAAGTCTTCCATTTTGAGTGTGACTAAGAAGCCTGCATTTAAAGCAGCTTCTATGTAAGTGCTTTTAGTTGAAATAAACTCAAATTATCTATAAAAAAAATGGCAACAGCAGAAATGGCAAAACAAAAACAAAACAGGAGAAAAGCAAAGGTGGCACCAGTAATAAATTTGAAGAGGGCAGGATAAAACAGAATAAGACAAAATAAAGGGGTTCTAGAGGCCAGAAATCTAATCTGGAAAGGCCTTGCCAGAAGAGATCCATTTTAACAGCCTTTTTAAAGCTGTTTAGCATGGTAATCTGGTGGATCTCGTCCAGCAGGCCGTTCCATAATCTGGGGCGACTACCAAAAATGCCCTCTGGGAGGTTTCAGACAGCCTAGATTTTAGTGGCTGTAGCAAGTTCCTCCCAGAGGAGTGAAATGTGTGGGGAGGATTGTATGGGAGGAGGCGGTCCTGAAGATTGGTTGGACCCAAACCATTTAGAACTTTAAAGATCATAACCAACACCTTATATTGGGCCGGGAAACGAATAGGCAGTCAGTGGAGGGACTTTAGCACTGGAGTTATATGGTCCCTCCTAGATGTCCCAGAAACCAGATGTTTTGTACTAACTGGAGTTTCTGGAACAAGCACGAGGGTAGCCCCATGTAGAGTGTATTACAGAAATCCAGACGCGAGGTTACCTGCGTGTGCACCACAGTCTCAAGGTCCCTTACTTCCAGAAAAGGGCTCAGCTGGCATATCAGCCGAAGCTGATAACAGGAGCTCCTGACCGTCGCATTTACCTGATTTGCTATCAGGAGCAATGAATCAAGGAGCACCCCCAGACTGCAAATGCAGTCCTTTATGGAGAGTGTGACCCCATCCAGGGCCAGAGGTTGCAACCCAATTCTTGGTTTTGGGGCAGCCACCGTGAGCACCCCCATTTTGTCTGGATTCAGTATTAATCTGTTTTTCCTCATCCAGCCCATTACTGTCTTAAGACATTCATTGAGAGAGGAGATGCCATTGGAATTCGAGGCCAACGATCGAAACATAGAGAAATAGATCTGGGTGTCATCAGTGTACTGATAACACCCAGCTGCATAATTCCAAATGATCTCACCCAGCGGCTTCATATAGATGTTAAACAGCATCGGGGGCAGAATGGCACCTTGAGGGATGCCACAAGTAAGCTCCTTTTTACTGGTGCAACTGTCCCTGAGCAGCACCCTCTGGGATCTGCCTGAGAGGAAGGAATGGAACAATTGCAAAGCAGTGCCTCCAATTCCCAACCCCCTCAGGCAATCTAAGAGGATGCCATGATCTATCGTATCAAAAGCCACTGAGAGGTCTAAAAGCACCAACAGGGTCACATTACCCCTATCAATGCCCAGATGCAGGTCAGCGGTCAAGGCAACCATGGCAGTCTCAACTCCAAATCCTGTCTT